GAAAGTCCCGTGGGACCCTGGTGCCACCATACAGGGCATCCTGGCTGCTGCGCCAGCTTGGGGGGGGCTGCCGGGGGGGCCTTGCATGTGGTGAAGGTGCTAAAAGTAGCTCCGTGCTCCCTGCTTGTAGGAGGGGATCCTGGTCTGTTGCTCCCTGACATCCAGCCAGGACGCCGACTGCACCTTCCTCACAGACTTCCAGGGGGACGCTTATCGGGTTAGTGCCTGGCAGGGGCTGCCGAGGAGCCTGGGGTGTGTGTGACTTTTTTGGGAGGGGGGGGCAGCCGGAGGGGCTTATCGCCCTTGGAGGTGGCAGTGAGGAAAGTAGTAGGAAAATTGGCCCATTCCTCAACACATCCCTGGTCCGCCCACGAGATGGGGATTGAGAGCTGTGTTAACCTGGCCTCCCCTCCTCTGTCCTTTCCTGCAGCCCTCCTGTGCTGATCAGACTGTGGCCTTTCCTGGCCACTGGGAAGTGGGGGGAGAATATTCACTGTTCAGCTATAGTTGCAGTGGCTAAAATCCAAATGGCAAGAGTTACTGATCCTCATGCTTCAGGGCACAAGCGGAGCCGGCCTGGGGGGGTCAGGAAGGAGTAGCCTTATCCTGCACACCAAGGAACTGCTCCATCCTCTGGAGTGTCTGGAGACAGCTGCTCTTGGAGACCAGATCCGCAGCTAGATGGGCCTTTGAGCTGATTCGCTGCCTCGTCGGTCTCCGGTGCTGAATGAGAAGCCATTACTGGAGGGGGTTTTTTTGTGGGGGGGTGAAGAGGGAGTTGCGGTGCAAGGGATGGAGGCTGGACCTATTAATACTGATCCCTGCTTCCTGCCCCCTGGTTTCCTTGAGGTTTACATGAAGCTGCGCCCCCACGTGCAGGAGTTCCTGGAAACTCTCTCCAAAGCCTACGAGGTACCTGCTGGGCCCATGGCCTCCCTCTCCGACAGCCAGGGCGCTGCACGGATGTGCTTGGGGGGTGGGGGGGAGGGAGGAGCTGTAAGGGAGCTGAGACCTCTGCGATAGGGAGAGGACCCAGCTGCAGAATCCAGATCGAAAGCCAGGCTTGAATTCGGAGGCCCGTGGGCTTGTCTGGATGGGTGGTGAGGGGGAGGCCGGCTGGGGGTTCATCTCTGGAATCACTGGGTCCCAGGGTCAACCCCCTCTCTACCACTGACTCCCTGTGTGACCATGTCAGTTCATCTGGCTCCCCGCTGGTAACAGCTGGTGATGCTCCTGAGGGAGGAGGGCTGAGGGTGGGGAGTGATTTGGGGCTAACACCATTTGTGTCTGGGAGCTGCTCAGACACGGCCGTGGGGGAGCCGCTCCCAAGCCCTGCTCGCGTGCTCTCCCCAGATCTTTGTCTTCACCACCGCGAAGCAGGACTACACAGAGAAGATCCTGGATGTCTTGGACCCTCAGAAGAAGCTGATCAGGTGATTGCCCCAGGCAAGAGGCGCATGTCTCCTCCCTGCCCCTGCTTGGCTTCTTATCCTGCCCTGGCCTCTCCCTCCCAGGCACCGCCTTTATCAGCAGGACTGCCTCTGCGAGCAGGGTTACTACGTGAAGGACCTCTCCATCCTGGAGAGAGACCTGGCCAGGACAGTGGCCCTGGATGATTCCCTCCAAGGATTCCCTTACCAGGTAACTGGGGGGGGGGGGTTGGATGCAGCTGGAATTGCTCTGCCTGCACAGGATGGGGGTGAGCTCTCCGAAGGCAATGTGACCCTCTACCTGCTCACCCCATCCAGTGCCATGCAGTGGGTCAGACCTACCCCCTCCCGAGGGGAGCAATGTGTTACGGGGCATAGGTGAGGTGTGCTTCCCATCAAAAGCACAAAAGGGTCATTTCATCCCCGAGGTTCTTCTGGTGCTTTGCAAACAGTCCCACCCCCTGCTGCTGGAATGCAGCCACTTCTGGGGTGTGATGCAGCAGCTAAACAATACCCAGCAAGGCTAGGCTGCTGAAGGTAGGGATTGCCCCATATATGATTGCCCCAGCATCCTGGCTGGATTCTACACTCTGCCTCTCTGGCATTCCCCTGAAAGCAAACACCCCAAGTGCCAGGGGCATTAGAGACCACAAGAGGTTGGGTCCTTTAGACCAGGGTCTCCCGTGCTTGATCCTAACTCTGTACCCTTCCTAGCTGAGGTCCTGCTGGGGGTGTTTGCCTGTATACGGTCATGCCTGACCGTTGTGCTGACTGCCCCCTTTTGTGGGAATGGGGCTTTGCAGAGCAAGTGGGGATAAACACAGGAGAAAGCAGGATTTTGGAGACGGGTTCCCACCCAGCCTCGCTCTGCAGAGCACGTCGAGTCCAGAAAGAGACCAATATGGCTTCATCAGAAGCTCTTTAATGACCTGAAAACCAAAAAGGAATCCTACAAAAAGCAGAAACATGGACAAATGGCTGAAGAAGAGTCCAGACAAAGTGCGACAGGCTAATTCCCAAACTGCGTTACCCCTAGCAAGGGACATACCAGGTTCTATAAATACACTAGGAGCAGGAGAAAGACAAAGGAAAGCGTGGCCCACTGAGCAGGGAAGCGCAGCTAATAAGGGACGACCTCAAGAAGACAAAGGTGTTTGTTTAATGCCTATTTTGTTTCTTGGCTAGAAAGGTGCATTTTGATCAGATGGTTAACGCTGCACAATTAACATACTGTACCAACAACAACTAGGGAAGGAATACAAGTCACATGGGGAAAGAACAGGCTAAAGAATAGGTACCTACATTCACGTTGGCAGGGCCTGATGAAATTCACTCTAGGGTCCTTAAAGAACGAGCTGAAGCAATCTGAGAACCGTTAGCCATTCTCTCTGAGGACTCCTGGAGGATGGGTGAGATCTCAGAGGACTGGCGTACAAAGAGGACCCAGGAAGTTCTAGACCACTCTGCCTCACTTCACTCCCCGGAAAGATACCAGAACCAAATTCTAAACAATCTGTTGGTGAGCACATGGAGGATAATAGTTAGCCTGGATCTGTCCAGAACAAATCATACCAAACCAACCTAATGCCCTCGTTTGATGGAGTTACTGACCTAATGGATGGGGTGGGGGAAGGAATAGATGTGGTGATCTTGGGTGTGAGTGTGTCTTTTGACCATTTCACCTGAAACTCTCAAACCTGGGAATGCAATCAAGAGGAAACTGCTAATGGTTGGTGTGCAACTGATACCCAAGTTATCAGTGACTCGCCGTTCAACGGGGCGGATGCATCTGTGACGGAGCAGGGCGGATTTGACCTGGGAATGTAGCCTGGGAGTTGCATTGAGTTACCTGAGCCAGGAAGGGGGGTGGGAGAGGTGACACCTTCTGCCCAGGAGACTGAACAAAGGAGAGGAGGAGCGGAGGGGAGGGGAGAGGGAGAGCTGCTGGAGGGATTGGGGAGTTTTCAGTTTTTGGGCTGGGTGGTGCAAGACAGGGAACCCAGCTGGGGTCTAAGCTCCCTGCACTCCCCAAAAGGACTTGATTGAGGGGTCCTGGTTGTAGCTACAAGCTCTGCTGTAGACTGTGTTCCTGTTATCCACTAAACCACCTGCTTTACTGACTGGCTGAGAGTCACGGTGAATTGCAGGAAGCCGGGGGTACAGGGCCCTGAGTCCCCCCCCACACTCCGTGATGGCATCTAATGGGTCCTGCAAGGCTTCCAAGGGCGGTGGTGGAATCCCCGTCAGTGGAGGTTTAACTGGGTAGACAAACACCCATCCGGGATGGTTTAGGTTGACTTCATCCTACCTCAGTGCAGGGGGTTGGACTTGCACCTCAGGGTATGTTCTCCCCACTCCGGCCCCTGGATCTCCAACCTCTCAGCGTTCCCCTGGCTAACTGCGGCCTGGCTGGTGGGACTGACTGGTTCTTGCACAGCCGACGCTACTTCCCTCTCTGCAGATTTCCAACTGGGTCCCGATCCCCGGCTGGCTGGGAGACCGCCAGGACGAGGAGTTGCTGCGTGTCCTCCCGCTGCTGGGGAAGCTCAGCCAAGCGGTAAGGAGACGAGCGCCCTGAGCCAGCTCGGTCAATATCCCTCTAACCCGGCCGAGGAAGGGGCTGGATGGGATCTCGGCCATTCTCGCCTTTCCTGGGCATTGCCCCTCCTTGTGCCTGGAGGCTCAGATGTGACCTGTTCCTATGGAGACAGGCCCCCAGCTGAACAGTGATATGGTGCCACTCGGCTGAGCAAATCGAGGGTTATTGATCTACCAATAACATGGCAGGATCAGCTCCTATCAGCCTCAGGAGTCCACGGTGCAGTTCATCTGCTTGGGAAATAATGTCCCAGTAATGCAATGGCAGAACATGCCCCATCTTCTCCCCACCCTCCCAGGGGGCTGGTCCACTGAAGGAGGACACCCTGTTGGCAGAGTTACTCGAGCAGGTGGTCTCTGACTCCCCTGCCTTGTGGGGGATCCTTGTGAGTGTTGCACACTCCACCTGCTGTGCTTAACTTGTGATGAAAGAGGTGCTGGGGCTGAGCCCTGGCACGAATTAAGCACTGCCCACCTGAGCTATAACCTTTGAAATCCCTCTTCCACAGGGTGACGTCCGCACTGAAATCCAGAGGAAATACCGTCTCTGCAGGCTACTGGCTGTGGACTGATGTCTGCCCAGGGACTGAGTGTAGAGGGAAAACCCCTTCCCAGAAGTCTGTCCTGATGGGCTGCTCTCAAACGTCCCAGATGCAAAGTGCAGCACTGCTGCCCGGTTCCAGTCAGCAACAGCACAAACTTTAGCTCCGCTCCCCTCCTACCTACGCTCTCCTTCTCCACGTACAACCAGCTGGGAAAACGGAGCTTGGCAACCCAACGTGAGCACAGAGGGCAGCTTCCTACAGGGGAAATCCAAATCTGACCCCCAACTTTCAAGATCTACAGTTCAGAAGTAACTAGTGCCTTTGAGTACCTCAATTGAGGATCCAACTTGAGAACCTCTTAAAGGTGGCTGTTTTTTGGTTTTTTGTTTTTTTTTCACCTGCCCTGACAAATCAGGCCACTTAAATGTGTCCCAGATGGGCACCTGGACTCAAGTTAATTAAGAAAATCTTGGGGAGGGGGGTGTATATTAACCCAAACAAAGACCCTTTGAAAGCTTCCCCTTTACTTACTCAGTGCTCTTCAAACTGCAGAGGGAATCTTCCTTTGTCTCCTTCTAAAGCAACAACTTCCCTGCAGGCCTTTGCAACCCAAGCATTGCAGCAAGTTCCCAGTGCATGAGAACCTGAAAATGAAACAGACTAGAAACAAAAGTTGAAACTGACCAGCCTCTGAGCTGAGAGAAATGCAAATGGCTGAAGGTAAACTCCACTTAAATTCTATTGTTGCCTTTGTATTAAGCTGGGCTGTTTGTATTGGCTTTGAAACCTGTGTCCTTAGAACAGTTTAAAACCAAAAAAACCAAAACCCCTTTGAGACAGTTTGTTCAGCCAGAGGACTGCATTTAAGGCTTGTTGTCCCAGAGTGGCTGCAGTCTAGCATCTCTGACAGTGTGACATGGTCGCTGGCTTGTGCAGCTCTGCCTGCTGCTAAGATTTCTCTAGTGGTACATTCGCACCTGCCTCTTGTCTTTGTCGCTCGCCTCCTGAATTCTTCCAGCTCACTCAAGGCCTCACTCTTCTCCCTGGGTGGGTCAGTGGAGAGCAAGCCAGGCATTCCCTGTAGCCACTCCAGGAGCTGATGGAGCGTGGGCAGGTCCTGGTGGGAGAGCGGAGCTGTACACAGGGAAGCCAGGAGGGGAATTCTTGTCCCTGACAGGAGAAGCAGGACTTGCAGCCAGCCTTGGTTTTCAATTTTCAATCTGTTGCGTGCCACTGTCGTGCCAACGTGCCTCCCCACCATAGTGGGAACTGAGCCGCTTGGGTGAGCTGGCTGGCATAGGCAACCTTGGGCGCTTGGCACTCTCAGGTCACATAGTCCAGGTTCTGCAGTGAGCCACCGGCGCTTCGAAGCCGTAACTGCAGCTAGTGCTAGGTGCTGTGTTCAGTAAGGCCATCCCTGGGCCCGAGGAGCTGGGGTGGGTCAGCGATGGACCCTCCAACTCAGCTGCGCCAAGTAGCTCTTTCTAGGCAAAAGGTTGATCTTCTTCCCTCCCTGCCCCACGGACGCCTCCCTCATGATCATCCACTGCAAGGCAGCTGTGTAGCCCTTGTGCCTGGGGTGGAGTAAGAGATTTTTGTGTGGTGTGGGCTCTCCCTGTTTTAAGGGCTGTGTGCTGAAATTCCCAGCTGGACTCTCGTAACTTTGTTCTTTCTTTGTAACCTTTGTTTGTTTAATAAAAACCAAAACCAACTCCTCATCTCTGTGCTGTTCCCTTCCCCACAGCTGCCTGCTTGAGGGCAAATGGCCTGAAACCAACTCACTCGAGCCAGAGGGGAAACTCTCTCTTCACTGCTGGTGGCAGAGGGCTGCTGGCTTGGAGGCAGCCCAGCCTTGTAAGGCACTAGATGTGGGGTAGCCCCTGCAGGGCACCAGTAATACAGCATTAGCTGGTACCTCAGCAGGGACAATCTGCCCCGCTTCTGAGCCAGGGATGGCCAGACCAGGGAAGCCCCAACTGTCTCCATGAGGGGTCTGCACATCTGCTCCCGCACTGCTGCTCGCGGGAATAGGCACAAGTTTCCCCTACATCTGCAGCCTCGGGCTGGAGCTGCCCCCCCAGTGGGGTGCTCTGGCTGGGTTACAGGGAGGTTTGAGCCAACCACACTGGGTCTCTGAGCTCAGGCAGAGACTCATGCCGCTAGAGCCAGAGGTCCCGGGCTGGGGAGGGTCTGGGAAGGGTGAGTTACTGAGCCAGACTTTCCCTTCTGAAGGAGACTTGGGGTGTGACCTAGCTGCCTTCTCCAGCCATTGGGAAATGGGGGTGCTTTATGGCATAGGGCAGGCTGGAGCTGGGGCCTTGGGGTAGGGGCCCCAGCCTGTTCCAGGAGCTGAGGAATGCCCTGTCTCCCGGTCACCACCAACTCAATCATGGCGGAGGGGGGGGGGGCAAGCAGACATCCCAGCAGCCAGCCTCATTCCTCCCCATGCACAAGGGGCTGCAAACCCCAGTAGCCAGAGGTGGGAAGTCTCGGTCTGGTTCAGCAGCCGCCTAGCCGAGCTCTCTGGCTGATAGCTGCCTAGGCCCCCAGCCCTGTCTCTGCCACCCTCTGTGGAATCCAGCCAGATCCCATCCCCAGCTCATGTAACTCTATCCTCAGGGCCCCCCCTTCTGCTGGGCTCAACACCGAGCACATGGCCGCTGCTGAACAAAGGGCGCTATTGTCAGACAAGCCCTTAGATCACCCCATCCCGGAGGATTTCAGCCCAGCTCTCAAAGCAATTATGGGGCGGGGGAAAGAACCGGTAGCCACCAATAGTACTGCTCTCCCCCGCCAGTGCCCTGGGCTGTGAGAAATCCCAGCTGCACAGGGGCCACGCTTCCTGTAGGAGGCTGCTATCCAATCCACCCCCAGTGCAGTGAGGAAACCTCCTCTCTGCTTCAACCTCCCCTACAACCAGAATAGGGCCAGGGTAGCTGGGTTCTGTTCTCTGGGCTGGGGCCTGGATTCTCTACCCCTGACTGGCTGGGGGCTGTGAGCAAGTCACTTCCTCTCTGTGCTTTGGGCTCCCCCTTGGAGTCCTGCTGTTAGGGGAAGAGAGCAGTGAGGGAGGCAGCTCTGAATTAGGCAAAGGGGCAGCCGCAGGGACCAAGCTTCTGTCCTGTGAGACGGATGGGCGTGAGGGGTTGAGATTCAGGAGACCTGGGCTTGATTTCTGGCTCTGCCACAGACTCTGGGGTTGAGTTTACTTGGGCAAGTCACTCCATCCGTGCCTCGGTTTCCCCTCTGTAAAACAGAGATGGTAAGACTGGCCCACAGTGCTTTGAGATCTAAGGATGGAACATGCCATGCAAGTTAAGAGCTGGGCTGGGACCGGATGGCTGTGCATGGAGAGAACCAGCTTTAACCCTTTCGGTGCTGGGCAGGGGTGTGGACCTGATCACCGTACAGTAAAGGAATGGTTAGGGTAGTTACACACCCAGTGCAATCTTAGCTGGACCCAAGGCCCCTGGCTCTGAGATGTGGGTGCTACAGGGGGGACACTCCTGAGACCCAGTTACATTCCCCTGGTGCTGGTTTTAGGGTACTGAGAGTTCATCAAATCTAACCACCCACAGGGACCGTTACCCTCATCTAGCTTGATCTGCAGAGCACAGGCTACGGAGGGCTGCCTGGTGAGTCCTGGATCCAGCCCGTATCTTGTAGCGGAGCTAGCGTATCTTACCTAGGACTGGACGTCAAGGGGTAGAGAATGTACCACGTCCCCAGGTAAGTGTGTTCCAATGGTTAATTCCTCTCACTGTCAAACATGCGCCTCTTAGTTCTAGGCTGGGTTTATCTGATTTCTATTTCCAGACTGTCTCTTGTTCTGCCTTTGCCTGCTAGACCTAAGAGCCCTCTGCTGCTAGTGGGCTCTTCCTCATGCAGGTACTTGGTCTCCTCTAAAGGGCTGATGCTACTTCCAGAGAAGCCCTTTGGGTAAGAGCAGCCTAGCAGAGGTCAGGCTGCCTGGGTCCCAATCTCAGCTCTGCCACTGGGACTTGCTGGGTAATATTTTTAAGTCCCCTTCCCTCAGTGCCTCAGTTTCCCCACCTCGTGTTTGTATTACAGGAACACTAACCCCCCTTGTGCTAAGCAGGGTATGGAAGCTCTTACAGCCTAAACAGCCAAGGGGCAAGAGGGGGGAAACTGAGGCACCGGCCTATTTCCCCCACTTGGGAGTGCCCCACTCCATGCCCTTATCCACTGGCCCATGGGGGTGAGCGGTGCAGAATCGGGCCCCAGAACCCCCCCCCCCTCCCCGGCAGGGTGTGGCTGCAAAGCGCTTTGGGATCCTCCGCTGGCGGGGTCCGAGCCATGTGGCCCGGGTTAGGGGCCGGGGGGCGGCCCCGCCTGCGGGGATTGGCCGGGCCGGGCGGGGGGAGCCTCCTCGGCCAGGCACGAAACTTGACTCGCGTTTTCATTCAAACTTGCAGGCGAGGCAGCGGGACGGAGCCGAGCGCGGTGAGCCGGCCGGGGGCGCAGGCGGGGCGGGACCTGGGGATGGGGGGCTCGGGGGAGGCAGGTCGGAGGGAGGTTCGGGGGTTGGATGTAGGGGAGCGGGTTGAGGGGGGAGGTGGATGGTGGTTGTGGGGGGCAGTTGGGGCGATATGGAGGGGGGTAAGGGCAGGGGTGGATGTGGGAGGCAGTTGGAGGCGATGGGGGCAGGGATGGATGTGGGGGGCGTTACAGAGGGGGCGGGGCCAGGGGTGGATGTGGGGGGCAGTTGGGGCGATAAGGGGCAGGTTTGGATATGGGGAGATATGGAGGGGGCAGCAGGGTTGGATGTGGGGGGCGATAGGGGACAGGGTTGGATATGGGGGGCAGTTGGGGGCGATAGGGGGCAGGGGTGGATGTGGGGAGGCCGGGGGGACATGGAGGGGGAAGGGGTGGGGGACTGAAGGATTCAAATCCATTTGCACTCTGAGCTCTCGACTTTGTTTGAAGTGGCCCTTTCCTAACAGAACAGATCCCCCCATCGCCCCCCCCATCCCACTAGACGTGTGGGGAGATTCCTCTCCTTGTCTAACTTAGGGTCACTCTGAGGGCTGGGGCCCCCGGGGGAGGGAGGAGGAGTTTCACTGAACTGTCTCCTCTCTGCTTTCCATCAGCACGGGAGGAGGGGGGCAGTGGAGATCTTGGGGGGACACTAGTCACCCCATTTTCCTAGCCTGGGGGCAAAGATGAAATGCTTTGATATGTGTGGGCGGGGGGGGGTGTAATTTCCCAGCTGCACCGGGGATGCTGCTGTCACAGAAAGGGGGGAGGCAGAGGGAGGGGCTGTGGCTTTCCTGACACATGTGGACGAGACCTGTTTGCTTAGGAGCCCTGTGCGCCTATAACCCCCCCCACTCCACACACACACACCCGCCCAGGTGTCTCCCAGATCCCAGTACATAGGACTGGGTCCAGCAACTTTGCTTCCAGCTCCAGGTCTGGAGCCGATGGCTGGCGGGGGGAGATCACCTCCCTGTGGGCTAATATTGCCCAACCAGATGCATTGTGGGGGCAGTTCTCCTCCTCCCGGATTTGGCTGGTAGCGGAGATGAGATTCCCCCCGTTGATCTGTGCACCGTGGCGATTCCCGTCTCCCAGCAACATGGCACCCATGGGTGTGGGTCACGTGTCCTCTGTCCCACTGCAGTGAAGAGGCCCCTGTTATAAGGACACAGCTTCCCCATGGCATATTTGGGGGCTGTCCCTGAGGGGTCATCCAGCCCCTGGGCTGTACCCCACAGGGCCCCTGGCTCCCATGTTGGGGGAGGGACGAGTTCTGTCTTAGACTGGGGAAAACGTTGCTCAGTGGCCCATTCATCCCCTGATTTCCAGGGGGCTCCGTCCTGCATGGAGACAGATCTCCCCCCGAGCCCCCTGGCTCCAGTCACACCTGGCCCCTGCGGTGTCTGAAATCCAGACCGCACTCTGGGGGGGGGGGCAGCCCCATCCCAACCCCCTTCACAAGCTGGGGGCAGCCGGGCTCTGCCCCGATGGGAGCCCTGGGCCTGCACAGTGCTGTCCCAGAGGTAGCAGCCTCCATCCGGCTTCAGAGTCTCCGCTGCGTCTTCCGGCTACACGAGGAGCTGCTCCCCGGGGAGGCCGAGGCCTGTCTCCGCTAAGAGCACTGAGCCCCCAGCCCTGATCCTCGGGGCCAGCAGGAGAGAAGGGATCACAGCACCCGTCCCCCCAAGAGAAATCCTGCCCCAGCCCCTCTGGGGGATTCCCTGCCCCCCATAACATGGAGCTCCCCCCCAAACAAATCTGCGGTGACAGCTGATTTTCAGGCATCAAATCAAATCGAATACAATGTCCCTGTCAGTCCCAACATTGCTGGAAGAGCTTGGCATATTGCATTTTCCCAGGAGCAATGAGAGGGAGTGGGGTCTAGTGGTTAGAGCAGGGGGGCTGGGAGTCAGGATTCCCACTGGTTAGCGCAGGTGTGGGAATCTGGACTTCCCACCTCTGAGGGGAACAGGGTCTCGTAGTTAGAGCCCAGGAGTCAGGACTGCCGGGTCCTCTCCCTGGCTCTGCTACTGATTTGGGGGGTTGCCTTAAGCAAGACCCTTCCCCTCTCTGTCTCTCAGCGTCCCCCTCCATGACCGTGAGACCCGCCTGCCAGGAGCGCGGATGAGCCCTGGGGATCGCCAGGGACAGGAGGGGGGTCGGACACCCTGTTCTCTCCCCCGGGCTCTGACGAGTCTCTGCCTTGCAGCCCCACCCCTCCAGCCATGACTGCCCCCAAGGCCCCGGCCAGTTGCCACCAGCTGCGAGAGTTTGACAGCGTCAAGGACTCCATTGCCGACCTCATCAACCAGCTGCAGGACATCGACCCGAGCCGCCTCTCCTTCTCACCCTTCCTGGACCTGGACACCCAGATCTCCCTGGCGCCCGTCTCCGACAGCCCCGAGTCCTCCGTCGAGGAGCTGCACTCCACCTCCGAGGAGGAGGCCTCCCTCAGCCTGGCTACAAGCGACTCTCCAGGGCCAGAGGCTGAGCCGGTGGAGGGGATGCAGAGCCAGGGGACTGGGCCTCTCCTGGGGGAGGACCCCCAGCCTTCCACGGTGCCGGGGGACCCCGGGCTTCCCGTGGCAATGGACCCCAAAGACCCCATCCTTCCACTGGGCTGCGACCCACGGGAGACTGGCAGGGCGGGGCCTGGAGGCAGCGTGGTGGTGGCGGTGCCCAAGGAGACCTGCTTCCTGGACAGGGTGGGGGCAGAAACCCCCATGGTGCAGCACATGGAGCACCTGCCCGCCGGCAGGGAGCCAAGCAGGGCACAGCCCTCCAGCGAGGGGCCAGCATGCCCCACGGCCAGTCGGCCTCTCCCCAGGGAGGAGCAGCCGTTCCTCGGCTCGGGCGTGGAGCCGGTTTCCTGTGGCCCCGAGGAGCCCGCCCCTCGCCCGCCGGGGAAATGCTGTGGCTGCGGCACCAGCTCCCACCTGAAGGCCGTGTCCTCGGTCTTCGTCTCGCTGCTCCTGGCGCCCTGGGTCCTCTACGGCCTCTATTACCTCCTGCCCTTCGAGCCGCCGCTCTGCCCGGACCTGGCCAGCCGTGCGGCCTTCGCTCTGCGCTGCCTCCTCATCGCCGTGGTGCCCAGCATGCTTGGTAAGGCCAGGGGTGGTCAGGCTTCAGGGCCCGGGCAGGGGTCAGGAGGGAATTGCCTCTCCTCCTGGCAAGCTTCCGGGGGACCCACGCTGTCCCCCTGCCTGCCAGCGCCCCCCAACCCATTGTGGCTCTGTCCCTGGTGCACGTTACCCCGATGCACATCAGGATGGTGGTGTTTGCACACTCACCCCTTGCACTGGTGAACAGTGCGACTGCACGAGGGGGCAGGGTGACGAGGGGCTGGTCCTGTTGCTGGTTTGGCCACCAGGGTTCTAGTCCTGACTTTCGGAGGGAGAGTTATCGAGCAGTGAAAGCAGGGGGCCGAGGCTCTTGGCTGCTATTCCTGGTTCTGCCACTCACTATGTGACCGTAGGCAAGGCCCCGTCCTGTGCCTCAGTTTACCCTGCTGTAAAATGAGGATAATGACACTGTCAGGGAGCGGGGGGCAATTGGCATTTTTCAGACCTGGGTCATGGAAACATCTCCTTAGGAACCCGGACAAAGAGAGCAGAATTCCGGCTTTCCTTCCGACCCGTCTGCCTTTCTTGAGACCCTCACACAAGGGTCTCAGGATCTGTCTATCGACTCCTGCGTCTTGGCCGGAGCCCGACGCTAATGCTCTGTGCTTCCCCTGGGGCACGTGGGTATTTGTGAGGGGATCCCCTCCCAGGAGACCTTCCGCCGTTCATTTTGGATCCCTCATTTGGGCTGTTGTGAAGGGGTCTGGAGCCCCAAGGGCAGCAGACTTCCCATGCTCCGCAACGCGAGGCACCAAGACATTCACCCTCCCCTGCTGGTGACAGACAGTCACTTTCTACTGGGCCTGGTGTCACCAGCGACGCTGCTCCCTGGACCCCCAGGAAGTGTGGGTGCATCTGCCCAGTGCAGCCACACCAGGCTGGATGGCTGATCGGGCTGCCGTCAGCTGGGGTTCCCCTCTGCCTTCTCATTTCCCCCTTCCCTCCCTGCTCTGGCCATGGTGCTGAATGCAGGAGAGGGAAGACGTGCTCCCCACCCCAGTTAATTTCTTTGCGTCCTGATTGCTTTCCATGGGGTGCCGGGTGGCTGGGGCTTGCCAGCCCCAGTCACCAATTCCTCCTCGTTACCCAGCAGCAGGGTCTCTGGGATGTGCTTTGACTTGGCAATGGAAATCTCCCTCTAAGTGGGGCCAGGGTGTGGACAGCTCCCAGAACAGCCACCAAGAGTGACCCATCACCCTCTGATGTCCTGGGAAGATCCCGCTCCTGATTCCAAACCAGGACTTTGACACCCGCCCTGTTTTAATCCGTCCCAGGTTTTGCACTGAGCCCAGCGCCTGCTGGGGGCAGGACTGTGGGTGCTCAGGGCCTGATCCAAAGGCCATCTGCTTGTTTCATAGGATCATAGAATAGCAGGGTTGGAAGGGATCTCAGGAGGTATCTAGTCCCACCCCTGCTCAAAGCAGGACCAATCCCAACTAAATCATCCCAGCCAGGGCTTTGTCAAGCCGGGCCGTAAAAACCCCTAAGGATGGAGATTCCACCACCTCCCTAGGTTTCCATTGGATCTGTTTGACGCAGGCTCCTAGTGAATGCTGTGAGGTCACCCCTGTAGGGCAGACACGGCCCCTGGAGCCTACTGTCCTATAGCTCACTGGGGAGTCTCCGCCCCTCCATGGCAGGAGCACAATACCCCCACCATGGGTCCGAGCAGCTTGCGTGGGGCTGCAGAGACCTCGCTTACGGGCCGTGGGGCCAGGTCCCCCGTCCCCTGCCTGATGGCTGAGAACAGCTGGTTAGTCCACGAGCAGGGGCAGAGCTGGAGTCTATGGGGGGAAAAGGAGTCGCCCCAATGCACCGTCACTGCTTTGATTGTCAGCTAAGCCCCCTGATCCCGCCCCAGCGCTGGCAGAGACCTTTCCACCCCGAGCCGAGCCAGGAATGTCCTCTGGGCCTGACCCCCGTCTCCAGCCACCCGAGCGCCGTCTCCCACGCCCAGCTGCTCCCTGGACTGGCCACTTCTGCCACTTGTACACGTCTCCTGCTGTCTCGGTGCTGTCAGCACAGGGGATGAGTGTTGCTAAGCGCTGCTTCATTCGGGCCGGGCCCCAGCCCCCGTCTGTCTCCTGTGGAAGGCGCTCGGGGAGACGGTTTAATTACAGAGAAAATTCCTCCGGGTCCCTTTGTTATCTGTGTAAACAGCGAGCGGGCCAGGGGCTGTTGGCCTGGAATTGGATTTTGGAAGGATCCCTGAGCCCAGCATTCCTGCCTTAATGAGAGAGGAGTGGGAGCTGCTGCGTGGCCGGTCCCTGAGCCGAGGGAGACTCTCTGATCAGGCACTAAACCAAAGGCACCTATCTAGGGACTCAGCTGGGCCTTGTCACCAGGGTCACCTGAGCGCCTGGCTGTCTAGGCCGGAGGCGTGCAGTGGGTTGAATGCGCTGAGCTTTGCATGACCTGCTGGCTTATCCTCTCCCTTCCCTGGGTGCTGGGGGGGGCGGTGGCCTGGACCCACTGCTCACGCTAATTTGCTGGGCACCTCCTGAGCATGCGGTCCCCGAGTCCGTTATAATGGTATCTGACCGTCTGTTAGAATGATTATTGGGAGCGTGGTCATGGCCGGGAGCCCCCAGGCACGGCACGGGACCCGTGAGGTTAAGTTCTGCACCAACACGGCCCTGCCCCAGGATCGAGGTTCCAGCCCCCCTCCGGCCCCAAAAGCTGCACTCATCAGAGGACATTTACCATCCCAGTGTTGCCTGCACTAATAACCCCCATCTGCAGCTGGTAGGAGGCTGAGTGGGGAGGGATCAAAAGGGACCCCCGCTTCCCTGCCTAGGGACCCAGTTCTGAGCCTCTGCTGGCACTTGTCAGATCAGGGCAGCCAGCTCCGCCTGCCCTTGAATGTTTGGTGGTGGCTTTTGATTCCTGTCCGCCAGGGAATTAATTCAGGGGAGAAAATCTCACTGCGACCGGGAGGCTTTCTGATGAGGGGCGGCAGGGGTATCCGCTGGAGAGGAGGAAGGGCAACAGGTCTGACCTTCGAGTGATTGCTGTAGCCTGTCCTGGGGGGAGTCCTGGCTGCCCTCTGAGACCAGACAAAGCGAGGCTTCCCCTTCTTGCACGGTGGGGAAGGTTTAGCACGAGTGACAGGCAGATTGCTGGCCTCCCGGCTCAGCAGGAGACGGGTGACCGGCCCTGGCAGGATGGGGCCCATCTGCTGTTTGTAACAGCACTCCCCAGCCCCAGTGCAGCCACACATTCAAGGCACAAAGCTAGTGCCAGCCAACAGCTTTAAGTGTAGGATCAGGTGCGTGTCTCATACTTCTGCTCCTGGGGCCCACTGTGTCCTGCCTTGTGCCTCGCCGGCCAAGGGACTCAGCCCTCTGACACGTATGTCCATCCATTGGTAACTGTAGTGCCAAGCACTTTGCACCAAGACTGATGCTTATTATCGCCATGGTACTGAAGGGGAAACTGAGGCACGCAGCTGCTGAATGACTCATCTGAGGTTACACACACTGGCAGAACCCCAGAGACAACCCAGAAGTCCTGGCTGCCATCTATCTAGGGTATTTGTGGCTCCTATTTCTGTAGTGCCTGAGTGTCTTCATCCTCCTTACCTCCCTGTGAGGCAGGGCCGGGCTGGGGATCTGCCGTGCAGCGAGGCTGTGACCTACCCAAGACGTAAGAAGTCTGGCAGAGCCGGGAATTGAACCTGGGTCACTTGAGTGCCACCCTAACCGCTGCAGTGGTCTTCCCTAAATGCCCAGGACTACAGGCCCTATTAACTCTTAGCTCTTTGTTTGGTACAGCTCCGAGCACGTGGTGGTCACTGAATGGCTACTGATAAAATAGGGAGGAGTTGTACCCAGGGACTGGGCAAGCCACATTTACTCACGGGCTCCACTGAGCCCACGAGCTCTTTCGTTTTGGGGACAGGGAACATGGGGCGTGGCGCTGTCGGCCGAGAGCGGCTCTGTCTCAGCAGGACCCCGGCGAGGGCTGGAATCGGCGCTCAGAAGCATGAAGGGGTCTGGGTTTGGCTGCGGTGTCTGATGCAAACCTCTCCCCTTCTGCCCCCAACCCACCCTGCCCGTAGGGGTCATGTTCGGGGCTCTCGCCAAGCTCTGCTCGGTGGCCATCGACCCACTGGACACACGCTCCCCGCCCGTCCTGCTCCACCGGCTGTACATCGCCAGCTCCATGGAGCAGCTTGTCATCTTCGGCCTCAACACGGTGGTGCTGGCCACGTTCCTGGCCCAGGAGCACCTGCGCCTCATCCCCATCCTGGCCGGGCTCTTCTCCGTCGGCAGGTGAGACGCTGGGACCAGGGAGGGCAGTGGGCAGCATGGACGATGCACCCAGTTAACTCCCTTCCCCACCACACACCCCTCCCTGCCGCCCCCCCCCCCGAGATTCAGTGAAATGCCTCTTGTCCGGCCCCCTCCTTAGTAGAGACGCAGCTCGGGGGTCTGACGCGCTGCTCTTGCCCACTGTAGTGCCACTGACACCAGTTCACACCAGCTCAGCGATTCTGGGTGCAGTTCCCCTCACGCCCCCCCTAACTGCAGCTCCCCACTGAGCTGCCGGCCCCTCCCGGCCTGTTGCTCGCCTCGGGGACCGTCGTGAGAGATTCCCGGCCCGTTGCTCGGGCTGCGATGCCTTCCGGGAACTCCCTTCCCCCGTTGGCATAGCCGCGGGCCGGCCCGGAGCAGCACCCCCAGAGCGGTCAGGCCCATAGAAGTCCGTAGGCACCACAGTGATGTAACAGACAGGAGAGCTCCTCAGAGCCTCTTGTTTATTTCCAGCCACGTTGTGAGCCAGATCTCGTTGGCACGAGTGTAACCCTGATTGCGTCTTCATGGCCGGCTGATTTCTTCAAGTGGGGCGAGCTGGGGGAGCTTCCCACAAGAGTCTGCAGCCTTGGTCTCCAATGAACGGCCGGAGGAGGCTGTGATGGGTACTGGATAGAGCAGAGTTGACGTCAGCCACGTGGCCCTTTAACCTCCCCAGTAACTGCATGATCCTCGCGTTCTCCCCCACCCTGGTCTCAGCTCCTGTTCTCCATGAATTGCGTAAGGTCCCCAGGGCAGGGAGTCCATCCTTAGCACGCGCCGCTGCTGGGCGCTACGTGTACTAGTCACCTGGCGAGCTGCCCTCCGCGGCGCTGGGGATGGGTAGCGAACTCTCCGCCCTTTGTGCCGCAGGTGCTGTTACTGGATCAGCCTCCACGTCGCCAGCGCTTACCGTGGCTTTGGCTTCGGCCTCTCTTTCTTCCCGGCCCTGGCGATGACCGCCTACAACCTGTTCTGTCTGTACGACCTGGGCTTCGCCTTCCTCTTCGCGCCCTCTCCAGCGGGTGGGGGCGGCGGCGGGGCCACGCCTGCCCCCACGCGGGAGCCGGCGAGCCAAGGCACTTGAAGGAGGAGACGGCATAGGATGGGGAGAGGCGTGAGCTCCAGCAGCCTCCAGCTCTGAACAGCTGCTCCAACCCAGCTTGGATCAATACTGAGGCAGCGTAAAGCATCCCTCCTCCAGGCCATCCCCAGCTGTGCCCTCCCACCCCTGAGCTGGGCAGTGCTGAGGGATGGACGAGCCCCATAGCTGAAGGCAACTTCTTAGCAAGCACCGCCGTAAGGTCACTAAGACACCACAGAGCAGCAGGGCCCAGCACCGTGCTACCACACAGAATGGGAAGGGCTTTTCCCAGCCGAACGCCTGCAGCGTGCAAAACTGCTCCGGCAAGCTCCTAGGAATACTGTAACTGCCCAGGGAGATCCCCTGGGTCTCTCCCTCCCTCCCTCCATCCCAGCCGTGCCAGGGGCTGTGCTGTGTGCCAGGGGCAGAGCTGTCTCTGCAGCCTGGCCAAGGTTAATCTGAGCCCAGAGGAGAGCGGCTTTAGCCTCTCCCTTTGATGTGGCCTGGTCCTACCTCCCTCTGGCATGCTGCAGCCAGGGCAGGGAGATGAGCAACTGTAGTGTCCTAATGACCGGCTAAGCCTGGCCGAGCGGGTCATGTGGGCAGACCTGGGCTAAAAGCCTGGCTTGGTTGCCCTTGAAAATTAGCCTGAACCCCCAGGAGAAGGCTCTGAAATCCTCAGCCCCAGTCCTGTCATTTGTCTTGCTGTTTCCTCCACGGGGCCAGGGCGCCTCACGGCCACTGCCCGGCCCCTGGAGCAGTGCCCAGAGGAGCCGCCCCCCCCACATACAGGCAGGTTACAGAACACAGACTGCAGGCACAAGTCGGGTACTCAGTTGTGTGAGTGGCTGGGGGGTTAAGCCCTTCTCTGTGCATTTATCATCCCAAATACGCTTGATCAAAGTGACTTTCTGAGTTAAGAGGGGCAGCGGTGGCTCGCTGGGAGAGAGGATTTCATCCGGAGCAGAGCAGTAGCCAGTGGGCTTGATCCAGCATTGCCCTGCTCCTCAGGGGGGTACGTAACCCACGGCAGGGTGCCCCCTGCTCCCAGAGCAGAAGGGTGACGATTGGTAGAGGGGAACAGGAAAGCAGGCTGGCTGGGGGAGGGTGTGGATGCTGGCTGGTGAGCTGTGTGGGATGCAGGGGGCAGGAGCAAGCCCGGGTGGCGGGTAAGCAGCGGGTGGAAGGGGAGCTGGTTGGTTGTAGTGTGACAGGAGACGGCTGTTAGTGCTGTTGGGGGGGACATGCCGTGGTGTTGTGGCAAGATGCTGTGCTGGGCCCAGGACCTTACAGAGACAAGGCAGGTGAGGAAATCATCTTTTTTTGTCCCTCACCCCTAGAAGTCAGGCCACTAAAAGACAACACTTCCCTCACCTCGGCTCTGTCTGATCACCACTAAGAGTTCGAACTCCCCCACCACTGCCCGAGGCAGAAAAACACCTGCCAGGATCTCGGCTTCCTCCCTGCCGTGGATGATTTGCCAGGACGGCGTAGTCCCTTTCCTAGGTAACCCCACTTCCGCTCTGCCCAGAAGGGACAGCACCTGAACTGTGAATTCTGAGAAGGGAAACTTGGGGCGAAGCTGCCCCTCCCCCAAGGCCAAGCCCCTCAGTTCTGTTCCTGGAGCAGAAACCTGCCTCCCTCCTCTACTTGTACAACCCCTGTGCAGGCCTGGGCCCAGCGCCGCAGCTGCAGGAACTCCCTTAAAATCCAAGCAGAGGGTCCGGTCGGCCGCTTCCTGTGCAAAAAGGCCCTTACGTGTAGTGACGGTGGCCACTGCTCTGCTGGTTCCCTGCAGAAACTACCCGGGGAAAAACCTCTGAACAAAATAAAATATTGTTTCTACCTCTTCAGGCCCTGCCGCGTCTCTTACTGGAAGGGGAATCGGCGCCATTGAGGGATTTCGGCAGCACAAAGCGATAGCAGGAGCTGGTTGCAGGAGTGCAGGCCCAGAGCCTCCCAGAACAGCCTTAGGCACCAAGCTGTGATTGCTTTCAATGGGCATCAGGTTCCTAAAGGCCTCTGATGCTGTGGGCTGAAGAGACCAAGGCTCGGTCCTTTGTTACCTAGCGAGATCCACGGGGCTGTGTACGCCAAGCAGTACAGGTACCAGCTTAATATTCCCCCACTCCCACCTGCAAAGCGGCATCGGCTCACGGGCTGTGAGGCGTCAAACACCCTCCTCCGGCGAGAAGAGGGGCAGGTGACTGGACGGAAAATCCTCTCCCAACTCATCAGTTTTCACTCTCCCTCCCCAGTGGGTGGGGAAGGTGACACTCTTCGCGCTTAGCAATGCTGCAGCCCCCGGCCGACCCTGTGGCCAGTGCAGTAGCCCCCAGGAGCTACAGCCAGGGACAAGCGCAGAGGCGCCCGGAGCCCCCCACCTGACTCTCTGACCCCAGAGGCTCAGGGATGGGGGACGGGACGGCAGCCAATGCAGTGGTCATGGTAGCCAGTAGGGGCTTGCAGCAAGAGAGAAGGGGCCAGCTCTGACTGACAATAGCAGCTTTATTTCACAGGGAGGGGGGCGGTCTCAGGTTCTAAGTCTGGAAGCAGCAGGGCCTGCAGGCAGAGTCTGGGCTATGTGGACAGCGCTGCCCTCCGCTGGTGGCCCCAGAGCCTGCAGCTGCCCTGGGTCATTTAAGCACCCAGCCTCTCTCCTGCTGGTCCCAGGCTGATTTCTCCCTTCCAGGCCAGCAGCTGTGGGCAGAGCACAGAGCCCCCTCCGCTGCCTCCAGGAGGCGGCGAGGGACACCCCCTGGCAGGTGATGCAGAGGACGCCCAGGAGGAGAGGGCCCCCGCCCAGCAGGATCGCCAGGACGATGAAGATGAGGTGCTGCTGGTGTTGCGCCGCTGCAGGCTTGCTGGGAAAGAGGGAGGGGTACGCCGGCGGGGAGCAGGAGTGGGAGAGCTCATGGAAGGTGCAGAAGGGGGGGCAGGCGGTGCAGTTGTTGGCGGTGTCCCCCCGGCAGGTGTAGCAGGACGGGTGGCAGGTGGCACAGACCTGGACAGGGCGTGGGCTCCTGTCCAGGCTGGGAGACCTCCGGGATCGGTTGTAATAGCGGGGAGGGCAGTAGGACAGGCAGAGGTGCTGGAACGCATAGAAGGCGCTGCTGCATTCTGCGGGGAGAGGAGCAAGAGTTCGCATTAGACCAGGGCACCTCAGGCTACGTACTGCAACACGGGCTGAAATGCAGCCACCTCTAGGGTGGGCAGATAACAGCCAGCACAGAGCGCCTGCACAGCTGTGGGGCACGAAGGGACTTAGTTGGAGCTTGCAGCCCATCTTACTGAGGTGCCCTGGCATGGCCAGTGCCCACACGCAGCAGGGAAGCCTGGGCCCACATCCACAAAGCTATTTCAGTGACAGTTAGGAACCTAGATACCTTGGAGGATCTGGGCCTTGGTGTTTAAGGTCTCCTCCAAGAAAGCCCTCCAGGTGTGGAACCCCAGTGCCTGCTCTCTGCAGGACAAAGGGTTCAATTGGCCCTGCCTGGATTCAAACCTGTGACTCCCAGGAATCTAAGTGGTTTCTAGTTCCAACCTGCTGCACACAGGACTGATATCCCCTCGGGCTTAAGGAGAGACAGGCACATTTCTGGCTGCGGGGTTGAAACCAGAGACTGATTCAGCCCCAGGCCGGCCCGGTTTGCTGAACCCAGGTTGAATGGCTTAGCAGCCCCTCTGGCCAAGGCGAGCGTGCCCCACTGTAATGCCCGATTGAAGGAGGGGGAAGGACACCAGGCTGGCATGAAGCAGGCTTCCCCAACTCATTCCTGGGGCCAGCAGGAGATGCCGGTATGGCCAGGGCCCAGCACCCCTGGAAGGAGGGGGGGGTCTGTCACTCAAGGACCCCCTGGCTCGCTGAGGAGCGCCACTGACTGGATTCTTGGAAGATCCAGCCAGGAGCAGGAACACAAAAGCATCCTCAGGGCTGCTGCATGGATGTACCTCCCCCTCAGCTCACCAGGCAAATGGTCTCCTCTGAGGTGAGCTGAGGGGACTCCTGGGTGGCGGGCTGTCCTGGCAGAGCCCTGCCGGCTCCGGGGGTGGGTGTCAGGGAGAGCCGGCCACGTGGCTGTGGATAACTCTCGACTTTGCCTGAGGGCTACAGCAGAGCCCCATTGGGGCCCCGTGCTAATGAGTCGATTGGTGCCAGGACAACTCACCCTCGCACGCTCCCTCGGAGTCCCGCCTAACACACTCGCTCACAACGGAGGCTGCTATCTGCCTGTCCGTCATGGCCTCGTCCGTGCCGTAGAGCTGCAGGACGACACTGGTGAGGAGCCCTGGAGAGGGGGGTCAAGAGAGGAGGAGCTTCAGACTCGATGCTGGGGAGCCCACGATCCCAAATGCCACGAGTTCCCTACAAGACACCTGCCCGGACACTTCACGGATCTCTGGCCCCGAAGGGTTAACCCCAGGCACATGGCGCTATGGAGGAGCGCTGGGACCACCGGGTGTTGGACGGGTGAGTGAACGAACGCCATGGCGATGCACAGCCAGAGCCTGCTCCACCCCATCCCAGCGCTAAAGGCCGTGAGTGCCCCTGGCCAGGGAGCTTTCAAGGATCCTAAACAGGTGCAACCTCACTAGCTCCAGAATCCCCATCAGCAGAGGGAATTGAGCCCAGGCCCTGGGGACATGAGCGGTGCAGGAGAAGGATGGGATAAACAGGACGGCAAAGGAGAGGTGCACAGGGGAGGAAACGTAACCGGGCTCAGGCGCACCACTGGTTCCTGGTGCACAAGGGATTAACTCAGTCTCAGCTTCCCCTTGCACACGCGTTCAGGGGAAGAGCTGTGAACGGCCACCTGGGAGACACCCCCGCCTTTGGGAACAGTGCGCTCCCACTGGGAGACTGCAACATAACTAACAACTAACCCGGGAAGAGACCTTGCTGCCTAGAACTCCTCTGCTGGCCTACAGGGGATCATCCTTCCAGTTCTTTAGGCACATCCCCCCTCGCCAAGCCGTTCAGCAGCCTGGGATGTCCTGAACTCTGCTCACCCTCAGCTAACCAGAGGAAAAGCAGCTGTAGCGATAGCAACAGGGCTCTTGCATATGTCTCCTGCATGACGGGGGCGCTCACCTGTGTTGTAAGCATCACCCTTGTTCTCGAGGAAGAGCGTCCATGTGCCTCGTGGGTCCTCGTCCCAGAAGTGTGTGGACATGAAGGACCAATCCCTGTAGCCCTGGTTGCTGGTGTCGTATGGCCTAGCGGGGGCAGGGAAATGCACAAACGCTTCAGACTTTGGACACTAGAAGGTCATGGGATGCACTTCAGAAACCCAGAGGTGAGCGTTGGACAAGTCTCCGGGTTCTTACAATGGCAGCATCAAACGTACCAGAGCCCGAGAGCACTGGCCTGCCTTAACCATTTGCCTTTCTAGCAGGAAGACTTCTCGAAGCAGCCTTCACCTCACAGCCCTGCTGGGGTAACTGTCTTCTGGGCATACGCTGCTCCCCAGCTTGGGTCAGGAAGGAACCTGTGCCCCTGTAATCTAGTGGAGGTTGTGACTTCCCCTCAAGAAGTCAGCATTGGCCACTGTTGGAGACTGGATACCACACCAGATAATCCATGGATCCATTCCAGTGCGGCAGTTCTGATATTCCCAGTGCAATGGTTCCATATAGAGACACGACCTACCCCTCATCTAGCAGAGACCCCCCTGTCGTCGTCTCCCCCCCCCCGCACACTCGCCTTTAGCAATATGGGAAGGGCAGGGTGGTTGTAACCCTAACACCTGTTTGTGACCCTCTGCAGGGTCGTGACCTGCAAGTTGAGAACTCCTATCCCAGTGCCACAGCTCGTTTTGGAGCAATTACACTCCCTGAGATTCAGGTTTTAAGTTTCTATAGCCATGAAATTCCCACTTGATCACTGCAGGCTGCACCTTCCCCCCCATGGAAGTACCAGCAGGAAGTGTTCGGTCCACCCCTTACCTGACGGCCACCAGGGTGGACTTGGTTCCCATTGGGCTGGTCAGAGAGATGGCCAGATCCCCTCTCCTGCTGTAGCTTAGAGAGATGCGGACCTGGACGTGCTCTAGGGAGCGGATATGCCTGGTCCTCCCGATGCAGGTGGAGACTTTTTTGCTGACTGTGAGTTTTGAGCCTATCTCCCTGCCAGGAGACAAGAAGAGGAGGTGAAGGCGTCTGCCCCAGCTTGGGGCCCAGAAACCCAATGAGACCAGGTACGGGGGAGTCTGCTACTAAAGCCTCTTGCTTCAGCGGATATTTTTTAATGACACCACAAAGGAACAGCGTCAGGTCAGGTGTGTCCAGCAAACCGGAGCTAGAGCAGAGCAGAGCTTTGGGATAGAAGTTCATAGGGTCCAAGCAGAGGATGGGGATCACTCTTTGCGGGCAGGGTTATTTTTCTGGGGGAGGACCCCCCAGTGACCCAGCTCTTGCCCCCATGAATATGAGGGACAGGCAATCATTAATCTTTGCTGTCACCCCCTTTAACACCCGCACCGAACTACAACAGCAGGAGCTCCTGAAGTGCTGTGGCGTTTGTAAGTATCCAGCCCATACTCGGGAACCTGGTCTCCATCCCAAGGTCTCATTTCCCTGCGAAAGTGTCCTCGGGAAGTGGTTCCCAGCTCCTCACAGAAAGGCTTTTCTACCAGGATTTCCCCCACAACGCGCTACACAAGGGGTCAGATTCCAACGGGATTTCTTCTCTTACAGGGGCACGTAGACAACCTTGACTGAACACTTCCTCTGGGGCCTGGTCGTAGTCCACTTCTTGGCCAGGTCCACCAGATCGCCAGCATCCAGGAGTCCATAGCCGTAATGGTGGCTTACTGAAAAACAGAGACACCAGCCCAGGGTAGGATCGAGCCCCA